AACAAAGGGATTTGAAGATGTACAATCGTTCAATTTCCCATGTGGCATAAGATGATACCAAATGAAGTGCCATTCAACTCCCTAATATTCATTCAGTAAAAGTTAGTAGATGTGTATATTTCTGAAGATACAGTGAATCTCAACATTAGTTTCATTTTGTTTTGTTTTTACCTGGCCCAAAGCCATCCTCATTTTTCCTTTGCTCCAACTATCTGAATTATCTTTCCAAGTCTGATGAAGCCTCAGATATTCCATGGTCCAAAATATCCCAGGATCCCTTAGCTATAAACTCCCTAAGGGATAAAAATGGGAAATGAAATATTTTGCAAAATGTAATACTCATTCCCTTGCAGAAACAGAATGGTAACATAAGTTGCTCAGGATGAATGTATCTAGGCTGCAGGAAAAATATCCAAATCTCAGTGGCTTCAGCAACAAAGCTTTCTTTCTTGCTCACACTGTGTGTTCCTCCTAAGTTATCTAGACTCTGTTTGGTGTCATCTTAACTCTGAGACCAGCCGGAGGGAGAAGCCTCTGTGTGGGATGTTGAGAAAGTGCTGGTGACAGACGCTGTAGCTCTGAAGTAGCCTGTGACACATCTCCTCACAGCTCACAAAGGGCCAGAGTGCAGGCCTACCATGTGTCTGAGCAGCAGAGTAAGCTGGAAACCTTTAGCAGACAGTGTGGTGATGCCCAGAGAACAGGAAACCAACAGATAACCACAAAATCATGTGCCGTTTTCCCCCTCAATGTGAAACATCAACTCTTTGTGAATTTTAGCTCTATTTTAATGATCTGTACACTTGGATTATCTTTTTCACTCCAGAATGTCTCATGTCAATACATTAGTTCATAGATTTATCCATGGGTTTTACAAACCATAACTCCTGTGTCCCTTGCTAGAAAAATCAAGGTAGTCAGTTGTGTCCATTACTTACATATCCATCTATTTTTGCAACATCACTATCTAATGGATATTGCTACATATGGTGGCACAGGTTGGGCGCTGCACAAATTTAGAAAATGTTCTTCCCACTGCGGATTATGTTAATGTTGCCTCCCGGAGTTGTGCAGTACACAGCATGCACAGTCATATACGAAGGTCACGAATCTATCCATTTCCTTTTTTATTACCCAAAAGACCATTCCATAACTCTAAGCATAAAGCAATATATGTACTGGTTTTTTTTTGTGCCTGGAACTTCATATGTAAGAGTACAATAATAACAGCTATCTAACAGATGTACAGTAAAGATTAAATAGAAGAATCCACTGAGGCACTTAGAATCATGTCTGGGATCCATGAGACTCATCAACCACCACCCATATCCCTGCCTGTAACACCTGCATGTGGACCCAGACACTGCCCTCTTCTTCCCTTCAGTGCAATGGGATGTGCTGCAGAGCTCACTTTGTCTCTGCCCCTGATGTGACAATGTGAACAGCTCTCCTTGATACAAGCTCTAATGGATGGCCTGTCTGATCTGACTTTCTCTTAGTAGTTACTGACCCGATGCATTTCCCTTGTCCGATAAAATGCCACCAGTGCCACCAGTGCCCTTTCCCGAATTATTTCAAGCTCTGACTTTCCCCAGCCTTTTCCTATAGTACTTGTCACCTTCATGCACATCAGCCTGAGAGGCACTAGATAAGGGTACTTTCAAACCTTGCCAGAGAATGCCTTCAGATTTTAACACAGAGCCTACACTGTGCATCAACAGCATAGTTTACAACCTGACTTTAAAAGAAAAGCACAAGATGCAAGAATCTCATGAACTAATTAGAAATATTAAACATGAGTTGCATGGTATTATTTCAAAGGTTGCTGAAATAGCGTGGCTTAAAATATTATGTCACTGTTTAAACTTTTGCTAAGACTAAGATCTGATCAACGAAACTAAAATATTGCATCTACTAGAGTACTGCACGGGCACTATTTTAAAAAGAATATCAAAAGTGACAAAATTTATAGGGAATTCAAATAATACATTATAAAAACATATCCATTGGAAAATTTAAAATTTTCAAATGCCATTAAAAACAACATCATCTTTCCATATGTGTAATATATTTCTAAATCCATTATCCTCATAGAATCCAGTGAAACAAAATGCAATATTTCAAAAAGAACCTCAATGTTTAAGTAATAATAGTAATAATTATGTTTGTTGTAATAGTAATAATTATGTTTGTTGTGCAGATTAATCAACTCTGCATTTTCACTCATTTATACTAGAATTGCAGAATCACTTATAATCAATTTCGGGCCATGATTAATTGATGGTAGACTCCATTATATTTTTATCTTTAAGTTTATCTGACTTCTACCTTCATACAGCTGATAGCCTTTAAAGAATTAATGCACAGGACTTCTATTTAAAATAGTACCAGTAAATCAAAGCACCTTTTTGAAATCCAAAGAACTATCATCTTTTTGAAATCCAAAGAACTATCATAAAATGTTTGCAGCTTGCACTGTGCACCTGGAAAAGCTGCAGACACTCCACACCAGCCCATGAAAGCAGCCAGGAGGGAAGCTGTACCCTGCAAAGTCACACGGGCAGAGCTGCCCAAGGTCATGGGAGCCCACCTCTTGCATCTGCATAACCTGGATGTGAGACACGGAGACAAAGGAGATGATTTTGGAGCTTTAAGATTTAATGACTGCCCTATTGGATTTCGGACTTGTATGGGGCTGGTAACCCCTTTGTTTTGACCAATTTACCCCATTTGGAACGGGTGTGTATTTACCCAATGTCTGTATCCCCATTGTATGTAGGAAATAACTAACTTGCTTTTGATTTCAAAGGCTCATAGGCAGAAGGAACTCACCTTGTCTCAGATGAGACTTTGGACTTGGACTTTTGAGTTAATGCTGGAATGAGTTAAGACTTTGGGGGACTGTTGGGAAGGCATGATTGTGTTTTGAAATATGAGGACATGAGATTTGGGAGGGGCCGGGGCAGAATGATATAGTTTGGCTGTGTCCCCACTGAAATCTCATCTTGGATTATAGTTTCCATAGTCACCACATGTCATGGGAGGGACCCAGTGAGCGGTAGCTGAATCATGGGGGGCGGTTACCTCCATGCTGTTCTTGTGATAGTGAGTTCTCACGAGATCTGACGGTTTTATAAGGGACTTCTTCTCCCCTATACTCTGCACTTCTTGCTGCCACCAGGTGAAGAAGGACGTGTTTGCTTCCCCTTCCATCATGATTGTAAGTTTCCTGAGGCCTCCCCAGCCCTGTGGAACTGTGAGTCAATTAAATGTCTTTTCTTTATAAATTACCCAGTCTTGAGTATGTCTTTATTAGCAGCATGACAACGGACCAATATATTACCATTCATCCCTTAGGCCCTCCTCTGAGCTCTTATCTCGATTTTCCGTATTCAATGACAACAAGCAGAGTACCCATAGAGCAGCAGTTCCCAAACTTTTTGGCACCAGGGACTAAAAGACAATTTTTCCACAAACTGGGGGTGGCAGATGGTTTTGGGATGATTCAAACATATTACATGTATTGTGCACTTTATTTCTATTATTATTACATTCTAATATATAATAATCATACAACTCACCATAATGTAGGATCAGTGAGAGCCCTGAGCTAGTTTTCCTGCAACTAGACAGTTCCATCTGGGGGTAACAGGAGACAGTGGCAGATCATCAGGCACAAGATTCTCATAAGGAGTGCCCAACCTAGATCCCTCGTGTGTGCAGTTTACAATAGGGTTCTTGCTCTTATGAGAATCTAATGTGGCTGCTCATCTGACAGGAGGTGGTGCTCAGGTGGTAACGTGAGTGATGGAGAGAGGTCATAAATATAGATGACGCTTTACTCGCCTGCCCTCCGCTCACTTCCTACTTTGTGGCTCAGTTTCTAACAGGCCATGGACTGGTAGTGGTCTGTGGCCTGGGGGTTGGGGACTCCCACCATAGAGGATTATGCAGGAAACTTATGGCCAAGCCTGAGTGGCTCACATGGTGCCAACATTACTATAAGGGAAATAGGAAAATACCATCTTGCTCAGCACTCACTGAGATGAATCTGTATATCTGAAACATGAGATAGTTTCTATTTCACATGTAACAACCACCGGGTCCTGCCCACTGGAGAACATGCATATCTTTGTAAATATGGTACTTTGTGTATTTATTTTTGCACCCATTGTTAAATTAGTATAAACTTTGACAAGCAATTCAAAGTACCTATTTATAAAAATATGTTCATTAACAATTTTACCTTTAGAAAAACACTACAATCCCCATGTATAATTTAGTTGGAAACCTTAGATCCTCATATACTCAGTGAAGCAAATTTTATATCCCAGACCTCAATATAAAAGTGACTGTGTTTGCTTATTATGTAAACTAAATGTAAGAAATTGTACAATTTGCTACTTTGAAGATGTAATGTATTTGCCAGGTAAGATAAACTTACCAAGGCCAGGCTCAGTGGCTCACACCTATAATCCCAGCACTTTGGGAGGCCAGAGTGGGTGGATCACCTGAGGTCAGGAGTTTGAGATCAGCCTGGCCAACATGATGAAACCCCATTTCTACTAAAAAATACAAAAATTAGCCAGGTGTGGTGGTTCACACCTATAGTCCCAGCTACTCGGGAGGCTGAGGTGGGAGAATCGCTTGAACCCAGGAGGTGGAGTTTGCAGTGAGCCAAGATTGCGCCACTGCACTCCAGCCTAGACGACAGAGTGAGACTCTGTGAAAAGAAAAAAAAAAGATAAACTTACCAAAAAATCATTTAGAGGATTTGAACTGAATGAGTAGAACCATTCTCAGATGAACCCCCAAATTTGAGGGTCTCCTATACAGAAGGCCCATGAAGTTCTTAGAAAACTGATACATAGTTACATGACAATGTTTCCTTTTCAGAAAGACATGGGTAGTTTTTAAGCTGCTTGCATTCTAATACGGAAAGCTGATGTTTCCTTCATTGGAAAGGCTCCCACTGAAATAATACTCAACAAAGTAAAATGTTGGTATGTTACAATTACTTTATTCAGATCTATTACACAAAGAGATGGTATTAAGTAACACTGGCTTGAGTGATCTCTTGCAACACAGAACAGGAACAGGTTCACGGTGTCGGAAAAGCAAGAATGCTGAGGGCCTCAGAAAGCTGAGCTCTGAAGACCCTGCACAGTCATGCTGTCCCAATAGGTTTCATGTTGTCATGGATGATGTCAAAGAAAAAAATTCTTCAATGCTACCTATTCAAGCACAGTAAGCAAGACTTTATTCAGGACCATCGTGATGGTTACAGGGACCACAGCAATGGGGACTTGTAGTAGGCGAGAGAGACTGGGCTCAGTTCTGAATACAACATGGAAAAGTGGGGATTTATAGACAGGGAACATGGTGAGGGACAGTGGATGGAAGATAACCAACAGGAAATATCAGGGAGCATTCAGCTAAACTGACCTAACAGGATTCTAGCTGAAGGCAGGCCAGGTGACCAGACATCACCTGGGGTATGGTGGAGGCTGAGGAGCCTGATCAGATACTGAGGTTGAACAGATATGGGGGGGTTAGGTGTTCTTGCTAAACTGACTTAACAGACTTCTTGCCAAAACTGGATTTTACAAGGAAGTGCCCAGATTGGGCCTGGGAGAAGGTTGAGGAGCTTGGCTAAAGTGTGGCCAAGTGTAGAATCTTTGTCCATGAAGCCTGGGATGGATGTGAGGTCCATAGAGGTCAGACAGCTACAATTTAAGAGGTTTTGAGCATTTGCATCACACATCACATTCTCTAGGCACTAAAGAGAAGGTAAGAAGTCTTTAGCTTTTAGAAGAAGTCTCCATGTAATCAACACCTTTCCTCCCGGGCATGTCGGCTCCCCATGGCCACGTGCTTGCCAGCAGACTCTCTATGGACACTTTTTGTCGTTTTATGAGAATAGCTCAGTCGCATGAGAGCCAATCCTAGTCCCAATACCATGCCCTTCTCACTCCAGCTTCTTACTGCTTCAGGGGTTTGTTCTGACACTGGTTTGGTTTTCCTAAGGAATCCGGTTGAAACAAAGAGAAGAGAGAATAATATTTTTCAAATCAAATTTCTGCCTCAGGTATTTGTAGAGCAAAGCAGCTGCTTCACCAGGGTAGGATGCCTTCCCCAGGGCCCAGTAAGACTTTCATGGGTCACAAAGGCAAAACATATTAAATAGATTGTACTATATAATATATATATAGTAAAAACATATTAACGTACTGTTTTATGACTATGTTGGTGCAAATGCCAATATCATTTCCAATCCCCAATGTTCACTTTCTTTTCTTCTGATTATAAAAGAAATTAAAACATTTTTGTAGGCTCCTAAAAAGGCCTTAGAGAGTATGCCTGATGGGTAATAATCTAGCCTTTTCCCACTCTTGGATCATAGAGGTCAGAGCTATTTTATGTCTTATTCCTGTCTGCATGTCTCAGCCTCTCTCTTGAGCTAAGAAAGTTGATGAATCTTTGCAGAACTGGAACTTGTATTCCCCATTGCTTGACATGAAGCTGGAAATGTAGTAAACATTCCCCACATTGCTGAATTGAGTCACATTATAAAGCAGGGTATTAGCGCACAGCATTTTTAATTGCCAAGGAAAAATTTTAACTTTGCATTAACATATTGTAAATAATCCTTCCACTTAATGCAATCAGATTCCTGTGACAAGTCAAATACTTGTTTTTGTGTGTGTGTTTTTCTCCTCCACTTTTCATTGTATGCCCTCCAGAAAAATCTGAGAAGTGGGCTTCCATTTTTGAAAAACAGGACTTCTTTAGTACCATAGATACGTAGATTGCAATTTTGCTTTTCATGCAGCATTCTTGATCTTGTGAAATGATGCCAATGTATACATCATTAATCTATTTGCTTAACTTTTAATATCTAGTAATGCTAGAAATATAATAATTTTTTAAAAGAATTTGCTTAAAGTTTCAAAACCCACTAAGGTTTGGATATACAACTCCAGAGGGAATATGAAGGAGATGCTTTGTAAACAAGCAGCCATGCCTTACAGCTCTGCAACAAACAAACAAACAACAAAACTATGCCTTAAAGAAGGTTTGTGAGGTTTCTCCTGGACAAAAGAATTCCAATTTCCTGTTATACATTCAAATCAAAACTTTCAGATGGTAAATGGTTTGAAATTTAAGATGATTATGGTTACCACAAATCAACCTGATTTCCAAATGTCCTGAAATGTGATCTCAATTATTTTGAGGCACTTTTAAACTCAATATATTTGCATCTAGAGATATACTTCATCCTTCATTTGCTGTTGACATTTTACAGGTTAAATAACTAGTTCTAGACACAAATAGGCATTCATATAATCTATAAAGGCTCTTCAAGTTATTTAATCCTGCAGCATCCCCACATCATCAAGTGTTTTCAGAAAGTCTTACTTGCATTGAATATGTTAGACTTTGAGTAAACATTGTTATCTTATAGGATAAGTTTATAATAGTGCCTTTAAGTGTTTTCACATGACAGTATCAGCAGCAATCCTAACACATCATCAGTAAGCTAGTACCCTCTCTAATAAGAATGTTTTCTAAAGCAAGAAGACATATTCTCCCACAATTTCTGGAATGGGGAATCCACGTTAAAAGGAAGAATCCTGTATGCTTTTCAGCTTTCAACAATTCTGGAGTTAGGGGGTAGGAATCACTTCTTTCTTTTTTTTCTCTTTTTTTTTGTTTTTGTTTTTGTTTTTTTGTTTTTTTTTTGTTTAGAAGAGAAGCAAAATCAACATCTGAAATAGAAGAAATGAAAGGGCAACTGGGGAAATGTTGTTGAATCCTCCCAGCCCAATAGTATGCCCTTCTTGCTCCAACTTCCCAGAGTTGTGGGTAGGGATAGAGAAATTATAGCCAACTTTCAGAAAGCCCAAGTCATGGCTAACATTCTCTGCAAACCGCTGTGTGGGTTACAGGTGTTCCATCCATGGGCACTGTCTTGGAATTGAGCAAACTCTGGGGAAACAGAAGGTGGTCAGACAAGTCCACAAAAGAGATGAATGTGTAAGCAGGTGGATGGCAGCTTCTCTCGATTTTGCCATAAAGGAATCTAATCACATTGTTGGGGAAAGTCTTATATCTGAAGAAATGATTGCACTTTACATTCCATAGGAGCCTTTCCTCGGGATGGGCTGGTGGTTTAGACTTTGAAACTATCTCCAGCTGTACCACTATCAGGCCCTCTCCCAGGCGATCAGTTGTGCATCTTCCCTGATTTACAGGGGCTTGGGGAAAATGGGATGAAAACAAAATCATGCATCTCATTGTGGATCGGAAGCACAGAAATTTCTCAGCCACAAAACTTGCATACATGACTGTTCTCTGATGACTAACTTCTGCCTAGAACTAAAGGAAATTATGCTTATGTGTATAGAACATGGATTGCTTGTGAGTGATTTTTGTTCCCCTCCAAATATCAGAGACTTTCTAGGTCAATGATTCTGAATTACATTGGAAGAGATTCCCTGAACCATAGCATCTCCACAGTGGGCTTTTAATTCAGAACTTCCATTCCCCGAAGAAAACAGTGTAATCCAAGAATTATACTACAAATTATGGAATGGAAATCAGTTTAGAAGAGATTTGCCTTGGGATTATTACTATAAAATTTTACAAAAAATCATTGTGCAAAGAAATCTATTTGTGAGCTTCTACTGTATTTACTTAAATAGTGATAAGCTTCTAGGTCCCTATTTTAGACATCTTAACCCTCTTGAGGAAAGAATATACTGTGTGTGTGTGTGTGTGTGTGTGTGTGTGTGTGTATAACTATATATGTGATGAAAAGCATTTGATACGTGTTTTAACGAATGCCAGTAATAATGACTTGCCTTCCAATAAGCAAAGTGGAACTTACCATCATCTATTATTCCTAAAGAAGATCTTTCATTCATCTTAAAGTTACTTACGTTTAGATGGCTAAACTCTTTTTTATGTGACTGCCTTTTTATTATGCTGGTTATTGCATCACTTCAGATTCTAGAGTAAATGGTAACTTCAACTGTTGACATAGATACTTGCTTAGGGGTGAGTTAAGGTACCTCCTGCACCTTTCTGTTCTAAGATTGCCTTCGGCACCTTTTTGTCATCTGCTTGCACTGGTGTGCCTTGTGAATGCCCCTCTATTCATTCTATTTCCATGAGTCCAAGACTGGCCACAGAAGGCATAAACCTACCATCTTCCTCTCTGTACACTACAGACCTCATCCCCTTCACCCCTTCAGTTGAGTAGCTGTTGAGCTCTGGCCCAAGCTTTCAGGTGATAAAATAGAGAATCAGTTCAAATCCAAGGTGTAGATGGAGTTATGTTTCCCCAACGCCACTCTCAGGCATGTGTTTGTAATGAAGATGGTGAGCTTTGCCACATGCATCTGTCTGGTCCCCAGGCACAGCTAGTGGCTCAGTCTCTTATCCTGTTTTTCTCTGTCGCACTGGCAAGACAGGCCGGAGGAAGGACAGCACAGCTGAAGCCAGGGCTTCCAAAGAAAGTTGTCCCATGAAAACTGGTTGGGCACCTCTGGCAGGGTCTGGGTGTGTCTGTCCGCAGCTTCCTGTATGACTTTGAGGATTTCATAAAACCGGGGCTCGGTTGCTGGAGTTAATGGGTTTCTCTCTCTTGGATCTTTGGAAATATCAAAGAGTAAAGGTGGGTCGTGATGAGTGACGTAACTCCCGAAACAGAAGCACACATGTGTGGCAAAGCATCCGTTGGAACCCACGGGGTTGAAGTTGGGGGTGAAGAAAAAGGCCTTCCAGATGGATGTGCCTGTGGTTTAAAAGGATGGAAATGGCATTAGGTATGAAGCATCCTTGTATGTACCACAAATGAAAAAGTGATGCGGAAATTATGCTGCCCTGTGATTTAAGAAGGTGAAGATATCATAAGGCTGCAGGCACAATGTTAATATGTACAGGAGAGATTATGAAGCCACACATAGACGCCAACACACACAGCCAGCGGGAACAGCGTCAAACTTGGTAGGACCGCAGTGAAAAGTTTATTTTCTCAGTTTTCAGCAAGTCTAAAAAATGTCAAATCAAGAATTAAATGAACTTTGGGAGGCCAAGACAGATGGACCACTTGAGGTCAGGAGTTGGAGACCAGCCTAGTCAACATGGCGAAACCCTGTCTCTACTAAAAAATACAAAAATTAGCCGGGTGTTGTGGCAGGGCCCCGTAATCCCCGCTACTCAGGATGCTAAGGCAAAAGAATCACTTGAACCCAGGAGGCGGTGGTTGCAGTGAGCTGAGATTGAGCCACTGCACTCTGGCCTGGGTGACAGAACCAGCCTCTGTCTCAAAAAAAAAAAAAAGTAAAAGAATTAAATGAGGGCCGAGTGCAGTGGCTCATGTCTGTAATCTCAGCACTTTGGGAGGCTGAGGTGGAAGAATCACTTGAGCCTAGGTAGGGGTTTGAGCCCAGCCTGGGCAACATAGTGAAAGCCCATCTCTATAAGAAATTAAAAAAAAAAAAAAAAAAAAAAGCTGGGTGTGGTGGCATGTGCCTGTAGTCCCAGCTACTCCAGAGACTAAGGCAGGATTGTGTGAGCCCAGGCAGTTGAAACTTCAGTGAGCTATGATCATGCCACTGCACTCCAGCCTGGGTGGCAAAGCAAGACCCTGTCTCAAAACAAAACAAAACAAAACAAAACAAAAAACAACCCCACAAACATACACAAACAAAAATAAAAAGTAATTAAATGAGGCTAGAAGTGAGGGTGAGGAGGGATTACAAATGGGGAATGGAAAGGATCTTTTAGGGATGAAGGAGATGTTCTGAAAGTAGGTTGCTCAACTCTATACATTTACTAAAAATCTTTAAATTAGAATATAATGGCATGCAACGTATACCTTTAAAAGCTGTTAGAAATTCCAAATTAGCGGAATTCATCAACACCAGAATAGGATGGTTAGTTTTTTAAATGTAAGTTCTGTATTTCAATAAACTCCAAAATATTGAAATTGCTAGGAAAAACTAAGTTACAAACAAATGAATAATTATGAAATAATTGATCCATTTCCTATTTATCAGACAATGTTATCATTTTCTGAGGAGCTCTAGAAGGAACACCTTCTAAGAGAGGCCTAAACGTGTTTCCTGGGTAGGCAAAATGTAGCAGATAAAAACCGAGAATTAAAATGCATGAACCGACTAGAATCCGGTGCAGAACGTGAATGCCCGTACAGCTTTTACATAAAACCAAAGAGGCATTCCTCCTAGGAAGCCCCCCACCCCTGTGTAAGTCATCCCAATCATTTGTGCATATAACGGCATGGGCGACTTTTGTAATTATAGGTATTTCAAAATGTAAAATAGATTAATGCAATGGGTTTAAACTGACAGTCACTGGGGCCCTGTGATGTCCCCAAATTGCCCCTGACCTTGGACAAGGTTAGTGATGGGAAAAGTCAGCCTCTTTGTGTGTGGGGTTTTTTTTAAAGCTGAGAAAGACAGGGAAAGCAAGGTGAATATGTTTAGATGAATATATTAAAGAAGATTCATAATGAGACGCCTGCAGTCTGTGGCATAGCTGATTCTGTGAGAGCAGGACATGACATCTGTGCACTTTACATGGGCTCAGTGCACCTGCTTCAGAAAGATAAGGTCAAGCTGACACACAGACACGCCAGGCTGCAGGAAGAATTCCGGGACTTGGTTACCATCTCCAGCAGGGTTTCAAAAGGCAGCAAGTAACCTTAAGATGCTTCCCATCCACTCCTCTCATCCCACACTTTCTTCCAGGGTATAGAAATTTCCTTCAGAAGACTTTTTGGAGACAGGCTGACAGAGCCTGCCATTTGCAGCCACTTAGAATCCTTCATCAGGGTCAGCAGAGAGAGAAAGTGGGTACATAGAGAAGCGAGCCAGGAAGCCTCTCTTGCTCGTGCTCCCAGTGATGCAGATTTAGAGGGCGTTTTGAACTTGACATTCGAGTCAAGCCTCTGTGTGTTTAAAACCCCAGGAGAATACAGGCTCCTGGAATCAATTCATGTAAAGAGCCTGTATTTTCCATTTGCTTTTGAAAGGCACTCACAGGATCCTGTCATTACCACCAGAGCACAATCCTCCCCAAGTGTGAGCTGGAAGATCAGATCGACGTCAGGCCCAGTCAAGAGATGCAGGCACCCTGGCCTGGGAATGGCAGTGGTGTTGCTGGGTATTTCAGACAAGTGTAGAACTAAGAATTAATTATTCTAAAGAATTATTTAGCACGCTCTGGGGTTGCTTGCCTTTTTATCCTTTCATTTGCATTTTTAAAAACTTTTCATAAAAAGGTAGATTGCTTAGTCCCTGTGCTGTTTCTCTGGACCACTTTAGATTTACTGAAAAGAGAGAACTAGAACTGCACTTTTTATTGTATAGTGGCTCACAAGATAACAACCCTACTTTGGGAGCTTGTTCTATTATTCATCAGGAACCCAGGAACTGACATCTCCAAACTGATATCTTTGAAACTGTCATTTCAAAGATAAAGAGCACAACTCAGTCACTAGATAAAATAGAAGGCTCCTGGCAGAGTCACCTTCTTTTGTTTAATTTATATTTTCGATTTGTATTTTCTAGAGACAGGGTCTCGCATTATCGCTCAGGCTGGAGTGCAGTGGTATGATCATAGCTCATTGCAGTCTCGAACTCCTGGGCTCAAGCAATCCTCCTGCCTCAGCCTCCCAAGTAGCTGGGACCACAGGTGTATGCCACCATGCCCAGCTATATTTTAAATTCTTTTGTAGAGATGGCGTCTCTCCATGCTGCCCAGGCTGGTCTTGAACTCCTGGGCTCAAGCAATCCTCCTGCCTTGGCCTCCCAAAGCACTGGGATTACAGGTGTGAGCCACCATGCCTGGCATCATTTTATATTTTTCATAGGTATATTTAGTCCTGTATTCCAAAATTATTTTGATAACATACTTCATCCTGAGTATGCTCATATACTAGAAAAGTGTTAAATTTTAAAAAAATATTTATTCACTACTATATTTTAAAAATTATCATCAACTGCTCTGATAAAAGACTGTTTCTCCCTCACCACTGAAAAAGATAAATATTTTTACCAAACTGGAAACTGAGACTCATTTATAACTGAGATCCAATGACCTGGAAAAGGAATTATTAAATTTGATATACAGAACACAGGGAAATTAAAGTGGACAGTTTTTTGTTTTGTTTTGTTGTTGTTGTTGTTGTTGTTTTTTACTTGTTTAAGTAGTCTAAGTGGTGATGAGGACAATAATTCTACTGAGATTTTTAAAATCCTCCCCCAAATTAAGAAAACGAATTGTCACAAGTAATGGTCGAAGATATCAGTGACATATGATATAGTACTGTTATGTCACTGTGCTAGAACAAAATGCTAGGAAATCATCATCCATCTGGTGAAACATATTTTTATATAAAATCACCACTAAACAATGTGACTCAACTCATGAGAGAAGAAAGTTTATTGTCATTTGACAAAAAGGCAGATAGAATGTAAGTGAGAAAAAGTTGATGCCTAAGCCAGAAACTGATTCAGCATCCTCCACACAGGATCCTAAAACAGCTATCTTATTAAAAATAAACTAAGCTGCGAGCAAAGAGAAATAAAGAGGCCTCTGGGTTCCCTGGGATTGCCTGGGGACCACAGGGGCTTCTGACCCTGGAACAGGAAGAGACGTTGTGATTTCTATTACTTTGAGTTACAGCAACTCAGCCACGGGAAGCGGGAGCCCTGGCAAGGAAGTCCCGAAAATGAGCACACGAGCTCCCCAAGAACAAAAATAGAGAGGGCGCAAGCCAGAACTTTCGTTATGTACTAAAATATTTTTTAAAATCAGTATTAGTATCTAGCACAAGCTCCCTCTTAACCTCTTGGAGTCGGGTTGTGGCAGGCCAGGTCTCACTAACACAGGCCTCCGTCATAACTGTTCCAGCACTGACGGAGTGGTGAAGTTAAATCTTAAAAGCTGATAGATTTTGCCCATTCAGTATGATATTGGCTGTGGGTTTGTCATAAATAGCTCTTATTATTTTGAGGTACGTTCCATCAATACCGAATTTATTGAGCGTTTTTAGCAGTGAGGGGGCTGATTGAACTTGTCCAAAAAGCCGTTTCTGCATCCGTATTGAGATAACATGTGTCGTTGTGTCTTTGGTTCTGTTTATTATGGCTGGATATGTTTATCGATTGCGAAGTTGAACCAGCACTTCGCATCCAGGGGATGAAGCCATCTTGATCCATGGTGTGATAAGTCTTGTTGAGGATGTGCTGCTGGAATCGGTTTGCTAGTATTTTATTGAGGATTTTTGCATCGGAGTTCATCAGGGAATATGTTTAAATTCTCTTTTGTGGATGTCTCTGCCAGGCTGTTGGTATACAGGCATGGATAACCCAGATGGATTATAAATCATGCTGGCTATAAAGCACACATGCCCACGTATGTTCATTGTGCTACTATTCCGATAGGCAAGACTTGAATCTCATACCCAAGATGTCCATCAGTGACCAACGTGGATTAAGAAAATGTGGCATCATATATCCATCCATTGGACATACTATTGCAGCACATCAAAGAAGGGATGAAGTTCGTGTCCTTTGTAGGACAACGGGATGCAGCTGGAAACCATCATTCTTAGGCAAACTATCACATAGAACAGAAAACTAACACGCACGATGTTCTCACTCATAGGTGGGAACTGAACAATGAGACTCACTTGGACTCGGGAAGGGGAACATCACACACCGGTGCCTATCATGGGGAGGGGGAGGGGAGGGGAGGGATTGCATT